AACAGTGAAATTTTTAGTTTTAAATCTCTCTTCTGTATTAACATTGTAACAACCAGTCAGCTCACAATGTTGTAGGGTTAATTGACAAAATTCCTATTTCTAAGTGGAGAATAATATAAAATGTTTTAAAACTGAGTCAGTCAAAATTATATTGTACAATGGCAAGTGTGATGAGAATCTCCGTTCATAACATTCCTTTAGGTGCCGAACTGGGCAACAGGAATGCTGTGCACAAGCTAAGACAAAGAACTGTGAGGTCAGGGGTCAGGCTGCCTGTGTTCACACCACGGTGTTACACTTCTTAAGTATGTGAACTTGGGGAACTCATCTCTCTGTAGTTCCATTTACAGCATGCAAGTTGGGAACAGGATACCTGAACCTCAGTGCTCTTCTCAGCATTAAATGTGATTACATGGGAAAATGAAAACGTATGCACAGTTTTTTTTTTTGAGATGTTAATGGGGAAATATCATTTTGGGCAAAAGAAACAAAATCTAGGAAAGTGTAAAAGCTTGAGAAAGCATCAGCCAAGGGGGCTGGAGCCAAATGTCTGTACTTGATGATATCCAGTCCTGGAAAAGTAGCTGTGCACTGGATAATGATGGCACACACATGCTCTTCAAGTGACACTGTCAATTAATTTATTTTTAAAGATTTATTTATTTTTATGTGCATTGGTGTTTTGCCTGTATTGTAGGTATGTATAAGGTTGCCAGATCCCCTGGAACTGGAGTTACAGACAGTTGTGAGCTGATATGTGAGTGCTAGGAGTCGAACCCAGGTTCTTTGGAAGGGTAGTCAGTGCTCATATTTGCTGTCCAATCTCTGGCCTGACATCATTAATTTATAATGCTCGGCATTGGAGAGTAAACTTATTATTGTGCTTAGGACTCTGTAGGAGAAACTGGACATTTGTGGGGTTAAAAATCCAAGTCTGAGCTGGATAAAGAGATAGTCTCTATTCCTAGAGTTGACTCAACCAGGCCACTATTAAAGTGTCTCCTATACTCCATCCAGTATGCTGTGATGACTGTCAGTGTTGGCAGGTGATAAGGGGGCACCAACTTTGTATTTTTCTGCATGTTATCAAATTCCTTCTCTAATGGGAAGTGTGCAGCAACAGCTGTACATATAGCAATGTGCTTATGTCCAGAGAAGGATCTGAAGATTTAGGAAATAAGGAATGAGCTAAGCAGAGTTGTAGACAGTGACAATATCAAAGGAACAAACAACATAAAAAGAATGCTTCATTATGCATGGTTTCCACACACAGTGACTAGGTTGTAAGAGGGTCTCTACCATGGAACTGAATTATTAAGAAACACGAAATGTTCCAGATTGTCTATGTAAATGCAACATGCTAAAAGAGCATTGGAAGCTGCCATATTGGGACCCTCACTCTTGGGGAAAGTAAGTGTTCTGTCTACCCGTCAACACAAGGAAAAAGCTCTCTCTGCTATGTTCAGTCCCCACTTGTTTCTGTCCCTCTGATTCTCTTGCTGCCCTGTCTTCTCTGAGTGTCTTCTATTTTATCTACTGGTATATAGATATTCTCCGGAAAGGCCATGTTTGCTTTTTATCTGTAATTTCACTTATTTTATGAGGATGATAGAAGTCAAATTGGTGGGTTCAACTTCACATTGATTAGTTACAAATTCCGTCTCCATTTCACCTTCTGCCCCTGTAGGGAGAGATCTTACTAGGTACCTGTGGTGCTGACCACGCCCATTTGGGCATGGCCACAGGTTGGCACAGGGCATATGGGATATTGGCCTGGGGAGAGGGAAGCACAGTCTCTCAGGTTCTGGTCAGGTCTAGGAGACCATGGGAGACTGGAGGCTTGGAACACTGACCCTGGGTTATCTGTTTCTCATGTAAGTGGTTTCTCCCAAATAAAATAACCTATGACATCCCTACCTCATGTATGATAATCTTCATCCTACATCTCCATGCCCTGACTTCCAGGTGTATACTAGCTCCTATTCAGATGTTTGCCTTAGAAAATCCATAGTTGAAACTATCATTAAATAGTACTTTTTATTTGTGGTAAAAATTAACTTCATGGCTAAATTCTTATTTTAACTTTGTATTTAGAAATGGTGTAGAAATCCTTTATAAATTACAATAGTTCAATACCCACTTCATTCCTTGTGCTATAAATTTGATCTTAACACTAACTACATGTTTCTTTCTGCAGTTGATATTGATTTATTGTCAATTCTAGAAAGTTTCTGGAAGCCTTCAAATAACTATCTTTTATGATAATTGCTAACATTTTTAATACAGGCTTGAGAAATACACTATTTTGATGCCCTGCAGGAACCCAAGAGAGAAATCAAGAAAAACAGATAGGAAACACTGCCAAGGCTGAGTGGCTTCCCTTTTTAGTCGATAATAAGGATGCTTCCTTTGAAAAGAGAGTCAAAACCAGAGCCATAGCACTCAGCTCCAGAACAGTGAGGAGTCAGCATTGGTAGAAAAGAGTGACACTAGGGAGATGAGTGGGGGATGAGAGGACGGGTCTAGCTGTTCTGGGTTTATTCAACTTTATAATGCTTTAAAATACTACCTGAAAGGCTATTGTTTTGGGGAAAGCTAGAATGATTGGTTTAATGCAGAAACAATTTGTTAAAAATGATTTGAGTAATCATCTGTTCACACTCATCTTCAATGTTCAAAACCCCTAAAATTCCTTAGAGGATACCTGTAGGTTATGAAAGCAGTTCTTTGCATACATTAATGATCTTTAAATTTTGGTAGGTTGTATGCAAGGGAAACACTCTGTTCTCTTGTCCTCTTGTGATGATGGATACATACAAGCATAAAAGCAGATCATGACATAAATACAGAGGTTTGTAAGGAGTAATTCACAAGAGGCACCTTTTGAGGACAGCGAGAGACCCCTGTAGTAGTTCCAAGAGGCTCTAAGTTGCTATAGTAAATAATAGCAGTTTGTGTCCCCAACATTTTGCAGTTCAGACATTTTCAGAGAGCCAGGGCAAGATAGGGAGCATGATCTGTGACATCATTCAATGGCACCATATTCTTCCCCCATTACCATTTGCCATGCCCCCACCCCGCCTGGTGTTATCCCCTGAATGTATACCTGAAATCACTATACTTTGTCAATTCTAGCCCACTGGGATGGAAATTTGAGAAAGAAGGACAAGTGATTTTGTTTTAAAATTGATCTAGGAATCACATATACCAGTTCTCCTCATAGTCTGCCCTTGGTCATTTAGCTGGATGGTCACACAGTTGAACATTAGACTGAGCAATGCTTCTGGTTGGACAGTTACAAGCCAGCCAAGAGAGCAGTGGTGGCATTGCTGGGAAGAGTGGATACCTACAGGCAGTTAGTTATCTTAGCTACAGCAACCTCCCTCAAATCAATGAAAGGGTAACAACCAACAGGACTAGAAAATGTGGAAACATGTTCGGAGTGAATGATGCTTTGTTTTTGTTCCTGCATATTTCCATATTCATCTCCTTATGGAAGTGAGTGAATGCTTCACAGTACATGATGCTGTCATTTCCTCACAAGGCCAGCGATGATAACAACATGAGAACTTTTTCATGACCCATTTATTAGGTATTGATTCTGGCAAGATAAGTCTCTTCATAAATAAAATTGAAAGATTTTCCCCCTGCTAATACTTGCTGTAAGGTAGATTGGAGTCTGTAATTATAGCTATAATTCACACCACAGTTGGTTAAACCACACAGTTAATTTTTAAGTGTCCTAGACTGGAAAACACTATTTAACTTAATTTCTGTTCTTGTCCATCCTTTGGGGCTTTGCCATTCATTTCTATCACTGTTTTGATGGCATAAGATCCAGTCTTATCAACTGCTGCACATGCCTACTCTTGTTCTTGCCACTTTGCGTTGCCTTTTTAGATGCTACCATGCCCACTTCCTGTACATAAAGGGCATTTGCTTTTATTTTCCTATGTACATTAACTTAGTCAACTGACTTTATATGATATTTGAGTAAAAATTGTTTTATTTATTAAGTGGATATTTAAATTTCTATTATTACAAGAAAAAAGAGAGAAACAGTAATCATGCTAATATTTAAAGCCAGAGAGCTCACTAGCTATTGTCTTGGCATCTGTTTCATCTTAGATCTCAGGGCTGACTCTTGTGTCTAGAAGGTAATAAGAGAGGGCATTTAGGAGGTCAAATAATTCAAGATGTAAATGAATCCTGAAACTTTGCAGATGTTAGAGGTGGAGTAGATGGTTACTGAGATGGAGCCATAGAGGCAAACTGAAAACACCTACTGTGAGTATAAATATTTACTATAAACCAGTTCCATGATTGAAAAAGGGAAGAGCACCTCTCCTGAACTCAAACAAAGTTAGACATCCAGGGAATACCAGCCATTCAACCAAACATTTGTCTTCACATTTCCAGAGAGTTCACAAATTGTGGTAAGTAAATTTAAAAAAAAATGTTGGTCAATAAGGATAAGACATCTGTGAAGGAAACAATGTCAGCTTAGACTTTTGCATTCATTATTACAGGAGCTATGACTGATTCAGCCATGTATTGCAGAGGTAGTTATATGACCATTGAGATTTATTAAACTTTATTCAATGATGCATGTAAATAGCTGCATATTTATCTCACATCAATATACCTCAATGAAGCTGTTAAAACATAAACATCACTGTAGCAGCACATGAACATAGGCAGTTGCACAGTGTTGCAACCACTGAATTGAATTCAGGAAATATCTGTACCACATGGACATCCCAGTTCTGCTCTGCTGTCCAACTCCAGGGCTTGCCAGATTGAAAAGGGCCTCAAACTACCTATTCTTTTGTAACTGTCATGAGATCCATCCATGGATATATATCAATTGTTTTCTTCCCATTTTATCTAGTGTTTCTCTGGTTTTCATTAAATAATTAGGATGAGATTCGATCCATTAGCCTGTGTGAGCTAGTAAGAACAGTGCTGTTCTGAGTAATATGCACATACTTTGTGTGCAATTCTGATGGAGGTATTTGAGAAATGATCATTGTATATGCATAATTTCGGGTTCGAAGACCATGTTAATCAGTTTTTCAGCATGTTTATCCCAAAATTGAACACCAGTATCTTTTGTATTATTGATTGTTATTTCAGTATAATCTTTGGAAGTGTGACGATAAACATCCAAATTCAATCAACCATTTTTCCTGACTGTTACATATATAACTGTTTTACATATATACCATATACATGTGGATGTTCAGTTGTCCTTCATGTCTATCAGTATTCAACGTTGTATGTTCTTTAATTTTGCTTATCGTAGGAATTTTGATTCATTTCCATTTGCTTTTGGGTTTTCATGTTGCCAGACTTGGTTGAAGCCTCTCTTGGACATAAATTAGAGATGAAGAGGCTTTTGTTGGTGGTGGTTTTGTTTATGTTTTTGTTTTTATGACCCAAAACTGAAACTGTTCAAGTCCATTGTCTGTATTTCAGTTTTGTTATCTTGTATTAAATTAGAATTTTCTTCATTTACATAATCTGGAGATATGTAGCAAATGTCTTCTTCCGCTTTGGGGCATTCTTTTCACTGTGTTGGTGGCATTATTTCATACACAGAAGTGGTTAATATTTCGTGCTCAAACTTATAAGATATTATGTTTTCAATTGTCACTTTAATTCAAGAATGTTTGAGGAATTGTTATCACTGTAAGGTCTAACTTTTAAACCCATGATGGGAGGTGGAGTCAAAGCCTTGCATCTCATTCATCATGATTTAGTAATCAGAACAACTGCCCAGGATGTGTACAACAGTAGTTTTAGATACTTTTGATAAGCAGACATTTCTTTCATCATCAGGGTAAAAAGAAAGTCACTAACAGTTTTTGTTTATTATATTTTGTTTGGACTCTGTGTTAGAAATTTTACTGAAGTAGTGCAAGGAAAAAGATTGCACTAAAATTCACTTTACAGGCAGGGAAACTGAGGAGGACTGGGAGGCAAAAGTACCTTAATACAGCAGAATTGACACATCCAAGCACTATTCCAAAGTCCCCTGAGATTCCCTCATATAGGACTTTACTTGGTGTTGGTTTCAATCATGAACGGTCACTATAATAAATATATTGAAAAAATCATTTCTCTTTTGCAGATAAAGGAAGACTAAGGACTAAAATAACAGAGAGCAGAAGAGAAAAACGATATTCATACAAACTGCCCCAGGAATACAACATTGAGTCTGTAGTGGTTGCAGATCCAGCAATGGTTTCCTACCATGGAGCAGATGCAGCCAGGAGATTCATTCTGACAATCTTAAATATGGTAGGTGAACCTTAAGATGCATTAAAGGTTTTCAAGAGAACTGTGAGTAGATTCAAATCTAAAGAAGCATTTTGTTTGTAGTCTTTGGTACTGAAGCCAGGGCTTCAAATTCTCTAAAATTTAACTCATCCCTTTCTCTCATGAAAGTATGAGTTGCAATGTGGCCTGGTGTCTTAGGCATGTCAAATTGATTTGTCTCCAATGAAACCGCAAACAGGTCTCCAGACCTTGCTTTATTTTAAAACATTTGCTGTTAATTTTGAAATGGAAAAGTTGTCAATTTTCTTTTCTTTCCCTTTCCCTTCCTTTTCTCTGTTTCTGCCTTTACTTTATGTCTTCTAAAGACAATATTGATAGTATAGCAATATTGTAGTATTGGTTTATGTGCATGCTTCTAGCAAGACGTTATAAAATAATTATAGGGTGGAATAAAGATAAATTTTTTCAACCTACTTGACTCAAACATTTATGCAATTTCAAATAGCAAGTAGTGATTCCAGTTTTCTCAGTTGAATCTCATATATATAAGGTAAAATCTAAGCAGGCTGACTCCCATGAAGCTAATATGATTGCCAACTTCTGGGATGCAGAAAAAGTTGGTGTCTAGTGTTTTGGGGATGATTATCATCACAGTAATCCTTTGACATATTTTGCTGGACAAACTTCCTTCAAGGAAGAATCAGAAAATTGCCAATGAAGAGTGGATTTTACAAAAGGGAAACAAGACTCCAGCCTGGGTCAACCTTGCTGTCACTGGGCCTCTTTCCCCCAATGGATGATTTGCCTTACTTTAGACCCTTCTGCCCATCTTTATCTGCATTCTCAGACTCTACTAGCCTTGCTCAGAGGCAGCCTGACAGCCTGACTTTAGTCTTGTCTCTGTACTGAGAACAGTAGAAACACAACTTTGCTGTGTCAGCCATATACATTGTAATGCATATTAAATAAATTTTAAGTTAAAAAAACCCCAAAAACTAGGGAACCGCAGTAAAAATATTGTATTACCTATCAGTTTTTAAAATAAGGTTCTTATGCTAAGTTTGGCCTTGAACAAAAGTTGCTATGTTTTCATTTAATTTTAGGAGTTTTAATTTTATTTGCTTTCAGGTTTTTAACCTTTTCCAACACAAGAGTCTGGGTGTGCAGGTCAACCTCCGTGTGATAAAGCTTATTCTGCTCCATGAAACACCAGTAAGAAAGTTTGGAGTTTTTATTCAGTTAAGTGGCTGAGAAATTGTGTTCAGGAACTTTTAAGTAGAATGAATTTGAAGGATATTCTTTTATTGACTCAAAATCCAAAAATATCCCCTGAATCACTTAAAGTATACATAAAACTGGCCTTTGGTTTGGATTAATCCCTCAATTTTATATGAAAACTGGAATGTTCTTAGTTTCCAAGGATCCTAACAACAAACCTTAACTTTCCAAAATGTAATTTTAAGTTATTTTAAAAGACAGCTTTCTTATATTATTTAAACATATGTGTTGAAGGTATTTTCTTATCTGTATTGCAACTGAAATGGAGGAACAGTCTATGGCATCACTCTGGCTAATTAAAAAGAAAACTAATTAAAGGCCACTTCAGAAAAACTCTTCATAAATTACAGAATAATCTATTTCCCAAGCCTAAAATATCAGATGTTGAAATATTCCATTTTGCATCTTTGATTTTCATGGTAACTTTACAATAATTACACCTTCACAAATTTCAACTTTGTTTAATGTATTTTGTGTGAGGTCAGGATGAATTAACACTAATTGCCTTACATGTTCTAATTAATGTCATATTCATCAGTGTGCGTTAGTAATTTGGGAAGTTTCCTTAGGATTAACGAACTGATTAATTAGGTATATCTGAGAATAATCTGATTGGAAAATGAAAGCGGCCTCTGTTGTAGGCAGATCTGTACATTGGGCACCATGGAGAGAAAATGCTAGAGAGCTTTTGTAAGTGGCAGCATGAAGAATTTGGCAGGAAGAACGATATACACTTAGAGATGTCGACCAACTGGGGAGAAGATATTGCTTCGGTGGATGCAGCTATCCTGATAACAAGGTAAATCTTCTAAGCCAAATACGTTGCATTCTTAATTCAGCCTCTCTGCTGCTAATCACATCCATTCCTTGGGACAATGCTCTGGTTCCAGGGTTTCTTGGCATAATGATTTTAGTCTTCTCCCTCCATTCATCATTGATTTCTCGGAAGTTTGATGTTGGATAGATACTCTGTTGACAAAATATTTGTCAGTTAATTTTAAAAACTGCTCACAACTGCTGTTATCAAAGATATAACATTGATGAGAGTATCTTAAAACTAAGGAGAATTTTGTGAGAAATGAAGTACTATAAGCATATGCTATGTTTTGCAGCCATCCCTGTACAAAGTTAACTTCTTAAGTAGAATTCAGTAATTCATAGTTTTTCTGGGTCCATTTGAGAAAAGACTTTCTGATGTATCTCTAGCTAACTAAATGAACTGCATAGTGAATGTACTTAGCATAAACATTTGTAAAGCCAAAATGCGGATAGCTCGTAGCTTTGAAAATATGGAACAATGCACAGCCATATGTTCTGTGTCTGTTCTCTGTATTAACAAATTGTCAACAATATTGTTTTGCTTCCAAGAAAGAGCTAACAAAAAATTCATTACGTGCCAGTGATTTAATCTGAGGTCATCAAAATTGTCAAAATTTCATATCGTATCAGTGACAGCAATATAATATGAATTGTCTGAAATAAACCTATGGAATCAATGCTATTTTCATAATAGTTATACTCAACAATCATAGCAATAAACTTTTATCAATAAAAACTGTATGAAAGAACATGAATGGATTTACTTTTTCAGCTAGTGCATGTAACTGATACTGGATTTGTACACTAAACGGGCATGCAACATGAAAATTTAGGTGGCAAAAGTTTGAACTCATTGTAGTATAATCCCTAAAAGATGGAAAATGTACTAAGGAAGCCCCACAGTTAACCCAGCTCTATGTTTAAGGGCAGTTTCTCAGCTGGTAGAACAGCTAGGATCTCAGTAGATCACCAGAGTGTTTCTGAGAACAACAGAGGACAGAGCCCTATACATAAAAAAAGTGCCAAGACGTATGTGTATTTGTCATCAGTATAGATCTAGACTCTTCCCAGTTTACCAGAGTGTTATTGCTTTGTTAAAACCAATAGTGATAATTCAGTCAAGCCAGGCTGCAAATGTGAGGCAATTGTGATACCTTTGCCTCACTGTTCTCAATATTTGTTTAAGAAACACAGAAAGGCTGTGTTATCTGCATGGCAACCCAGGAGGATCTGCTCTGACCCAGCATGATTTTGATGTTTAGTGGAGACTGAGTTTTCCCCATTTACAGGGCCTGGGGAAACATCTTAGGCTTTTGATAGATCCTCCATTGCAGGGAATAACAAAAACAAACAAAAAAGCAAACAAACCCCCAAATGCTTTCTTTTATAAAATTTGCCTTGGCTATGGTGTCTCCTCCCAGCAATAGAACAGAGACTAAGATAGATGCATGCATTTAAATAAAATACAGAGTAAGTCTGGATGGCAATTAAAAACCAAAATTTAATAAGGTCACCAACACAATTCAACATTGAAAAGATAATATATTTCTTAATTAATGATTAGGTCTACTTTACAAAAAAAGAATGACAGCATTCCTTAACAACTTAGGTAAATGCTAAGTAGCATAAGACCCTAGAATTACATGTGAAAGGCACACATCAGGATGCTCCAGTGTAAAACAGAGAAGAAAGTCTTCCTCAACAGGTGGAGGATGATAACTTCCTAAATACAAAAATAGCACTAGTAAGAACACAACACAAAACTAGTTGCTTTGTTATTCTTCTTTTTCTTGCTGTCACAATGTATGTCCACTCCCTTATATTTATCGCAGGCCTCATTACTACAGTACTTGTTTCATCTGTGCAGGCCTCTTTCTCATCTTGATACAAGATGCAATTTACTAGTGTTGTTTTTTATAATTACCTCTCTCAGAACAGTTTGTGTGAAATTATATGCCATTTTAATGAGCAGATGAATAAATCTTGGTACATGTGGAGATAGTGTATTAAAAGCAAAATGTTTACTTAAAGATTAAAGGAGTGCCCTTGCACTGTTTTATAGTTTTCTATACATTTGGGACAGGCAGCATCTGCACACATTAATTTGACCTGGTTTATAACTTCATATAAAAAGCATCATCCTTCTGAATTTGTAATTAATTTGATGCTTTTGCTTAGCATAATGTCTTGACACCCACTCTGTGCTATTGCATATACTGATAGTTTGATGCTATTATATTTGACAATTTGAAAATATTAAGTGGGTATTCTTTTTTTAATTTTTTTATTAGTTCTAGTTAGGGAACAAGCTTATTTCAAGTCCCTTCTCCCTCTCCCTCCCCTCACCCCCAAACTTCCTCCCCCAC